GATAATGGGATATGAATATGAAGGTAAAGTAGTGAAGCCAAGCTGCAAATGTGGTGAGCAAAGCAGAATTTGTAGTTTGCTTTTACACTCTAAAATTCAATATGCTTCATACACACACATATATATATTATTATTTTTATATATATATATTTATTTATTATATAAGCTGAAACCTGATAATATAATCTGGTGCATATTTACATGACTTCAGGAAAGCAGAATGTTCATTGTGTAGTTTGCCATTTGTGATAATCATTCTGCTGTTTTTAGCATGCCTATTCAATTACACGCAGATTTTATTCAGACTCAAGAGGTGTGAGCTCCTAATATATGGATCATTTATTGGCAGAATCAATATACAGCAGGCTAATCTGACCTATGAAAGGAGTATTTATGAGTTCTATGAAATCCCTTTCCCTCCATATCTTTAATAAGGCAGTTGGCAGTTTCTGCACAGAATCTCAATGAAGCAGATTAATAAGACTACACATCACTGAATATGGAGATCTTTCTTGGCAATATCCAAACATCAAAGAGCCAGATGCACCTTTGAGGTTTTCCCCTTCTTTCATGTTCCTGCAAAAAGATACTTGGACTTGCATTTATTTTATATTTACATTGTCTTTATTCACATTTTCCTTTTGAGAGCCATATTTGATTAAGCTATCCATAGACAAAAGATGACAAGCTCACATATAGGGAGTTCCTGCAGGAAGCTGCTTTGGGATGATCCATTTTCAGACAGTCAAAAATCTGCCCCAGTTGCTATTGTACCTCCCTCTGATTATTGACACCTCCTCCTCACCTCATTGACACCTCCTCCTTTCATCACTGACACTACTTGTAAGCTTGGACAAGTTCAGTTTACAGGTATTTAGAGTACTCATCAGCTTTGCAAAGAAAGATTCCACTGAGATTTGTTGGATCATGTCTAATGACTGACTACCCCCAACTCTCTCTGTCGGCTGCCTAAAAAATGATTAGAGATGGCTAAAGACTTCAAAGTGACATACACATCAAATGGCCATTGGATGTGCCTCCATCTCTTGTAGAGACAGTTCAAAGTTCATAAAACCTTCATTGGTGAGCTCTATTATGTACTCTCTTGGAATTTCCTATAGCGACATCTCCTTACTGAAAAGTCTGAGGGTACACGTATATCATTGTTGTATAGATTGTTTCTTAGAAACTGAAGGCAATATTCAATTTTATTTAGAAGCATTTTCATTGTCACAAACATTTGCTTTTTTATCCAGTACCGCTAATAATTATGATCAAATAATAACTCTAATTCTTTTTTTCTTAAAAATATCTAATAAAATCATTCATATGCCCTACTGTAAAAGATCAAAATGTTTCATCCTCTTTGATGACATCCTTCTTGACTTAAAATATTAGAGTCAGTTAAAACAGACTGAAAATGCATGTGGTTTAATTTTTTATCAGATACAAATTGATTATCACAATGGCAAAACAACGTTTTGAGCACCTTCAGATATATTTTATGTAAGTTGTTCTTGTTGAGAACACTTGTTGCTTTAGACTGCAATAGGTTTAATCCACTAAAATGGACACGTTATTATACCTCTACTACTTCTTTTACGTCATGATACTATTCTCCTAAAAATGTCAACAAGATGTGCAATCTTTATATTTTCAAGTAAAGTTAATATTAATCTGTTCAAAGCCTATTTTTTCATAAAAAATTATTTTAACTCGTAAAGTATTATTTTATCACCGCCTCAAATGACTCCTTTTCCTTGTTTCATCCATAGACAGCTATTTAAGCTCAGTTCTCACCACCATGAAGATGGTGGAATTGTAAGCCTTGTGCTGCGAGAGCCTTTCTTTTTTTTTTTTTTGCACACATATTTAAAAAATCATTTTGTACCGAATGTTACTTAGTTTATAGTTTCAGTTGTTTATGTTACTACAATATTTTTTATGTCAACTGTATATCAAGCACAACATGTCAGTAAAAGATATACTAAAATTAGTTTTAGGGCATACAAATGCTATATATCACCCAATGTTTTGGTAAAATATAAAAATAAGGTTGTGGCAATTAAATAGATACCCAACATGTCAAGCATAAAAGTTGCAAAATGGCAACAAATTTCAAGGTGTTAAATTATCCATAGGCAACAGCAGGACATGCTGGAATCTTACCTCTCAGATTCTTATCAGTGTGTTATTTAATTGTATGCCTAAATATTACAATAAACCCCCAAACCATTGAATTCCTGAGACAAATTAGGCTCAGTTCACAAGAGAAAAACAGTGGTGACCTTAGTATAGGTAGCTGATATGAACTACATAAAGGTAATTTGTACTTGTGTATGTAGAGGCTGCGCATGTTATGCATTGTGTAAAATGAAAATAATAATGTGAAATTCCAAAGATCAGGACATGCTGGCATTTTGCATCTCAGTTTTTTTTCAGTGCAATATGTTACCTAACTTGATATGCTCGGATTTGTAATTCCATAATATTGGTAAGCCACAGATTAACTGTTTATAAAACGTTTCTGCTTTTTGTTACATAAAACCCCCAAAACATTATATATTTTCTGAAAGCAGAGACACAGGAGAATAAAATGGTGGTAGTTCTAGTTTTATACTATATGTCTAAATGTAATTTTTTATGTCATCTGTATATCAAGTGCAACATTTCAGTATAAAAACACTAAAGTTAATTTTATGGAACATTAACCCAATACATTGCCCAATTTCATTGTACAATATAAAAGATGAGGTTACACCAAATAAATAGATACCCAACACGTCAAGCATTAAAATTACATGCACCCATGAAATGGCAACAAACTTCCTTAATTTATCCAGAGGTGAAGCTTAAAAAGCCCCTACAGGTCATCATTTTAGAGTTAGCCATGAATAATGGCCCTCAAATTATTTATTTTACTCTGGCATGCGCTGCATTAGGTAATACAGTATATGTAGTGAGATCAATGTTTTCATGCATGAGCTCAACCAACAAGTGTTTACATTCCAATGTGCCTGGGGGGGGTGGAGTAGTGTTTTGGTGTAACTATATACAGTGGGGCAAAAAAGTATTTAGTCAGCCACCAATTGTGCAAGTTCTCCCACTTAAAAAGATGAGAGAGGCCTGTAACTGGCCTCATAGGTAGACCTCAACTATAAGAGACAAAATGAGAAAAAAAATCCAGACAATCACATTGGCTGATTTGGAAAGAATTTATTTGCAAATTATGGTGGAAAATAAGTATTTGGTCACCTACAAACAAGCAAGATTTCTGGCTCTCACAGACCTGTACCTTCTTCTTTAAGAGGCTCCTCTGTCCTGCACTCATTACCTGTATCAATGGCACCTGTTTGAACTTGTTATCAGTATAAAAGACAGCTGTCCACAACCTCAAACAGTCACACTCCAAACTCCACTATGGTGAAGACCAAAGAGCTGTCGAAGGACACCAGAAACAAAATTGTAGACCTGCACCAGGCTGGGAAGTCTGAATCTGCAATAGGCAAGCAGCTTGGTGTGAACAAATCAACTGTGGGAGCAATAATTAGAAAATGGAAGACATACAAGACCACTGATAATCTCCCTCGATCTGGGGCTCCACGCAAGATCTCACCGCGTGGGGTCAAAATGATCACAAGAACGGTGAGCAAAAATCCCAGGACCACACGGGGACCCCGTCTGAAGTTTGCTAGAGAGCATTTGGATGATCCAGAAGAGGATTGGGAGAATGTCATATGGTCAGATGAAACCAAAATAGAACTGTTTGATAGAAACACAACTCGTTGTGTTTGGAGGAGAGAGAATGCTGAGTTGCATCCAAAGAACACCATACCTACTGTGAAGCATGGGGTGGCAACATCATGCTTTGGGGCTGTTTCTCCGCAAAGGGACCAGGACGACTGATCCATGTACAGGACAGAATGAATGGGGCCATGTATAGTGAGATTTTGAGTGCAAACCTCCTTCCATCAGCAAAGGCATTGAAGATGAAATGTGGCTGGGTCTTCCAACATGACAGTGATCCCAAACATACCGCCCGGGCAATGAAGGAGTGGCTTCGTAAGAAGCATTTCAAGGTCCTGGAGTGGCCTAACCAGTCTGCAGATCTCAACCCCATAGAAAACCTTTGGAGGGAGTTGAAAGTCTGTGTTGCCCAGCGACAGCCCCAAAACATCACTGCTCTAGAGGAGATCTGCATGGAGGAATGGACCAACATACCAGCAACAGTGTGTGCCAACCTTGTGAAGACTTACAGGAAACGTTTGACCTCTGTCATTGCCAACAAACGATATATAACAAAGTATTGAGATGAACTTTTGATATTGACCAAATACTTATTTTCCACCATAATTTGCAAATAAATTCTTTCCAAATCAGCCAATGTGATTGTCTGGATTTGTTTTCTCATTTTGTCTCTCATAGTTGAGGTCTACCTATAATGCCAATTACAGGCCTCTCTCATCTTTTTAAGTGGGAGAACTTGCACAATTGGTGGCTGACTAAATACTTTTTTGCCCCACTGTATATAGTTTTTTTTTTCACTAAACTTTAGCTTTTTCACCAAATGTCTCCTGTGTTAGAAGATTTTGTTGTGGCAGGTTCTGTTTAATGAGACATCTTTTCAACCCGTGTAGTTATGTACATAGAAGCAGTGTGTAAAGCAGAAATAATCATGCGATTATTTTATTTTATTATAATCAAACATGGACATGCTGCCATTTTGCTTTCAATATACTTTAGTGCCATATGTTACCTAACTTGATATCTGGGATTTGTAGTTCCATAATACTGGGAAGCCACAGGTTGACTCTTAATAATATTTTTTCTCCTTTTCTTCTGTTTGCAAGTGTGTTCATTCCTATTACCTTTCAGAAATTCACAGTTTTTACTTTTTTTAGTGGAAATACTAATCCTGGAGGATCTTACTAACCCCAAACTATGAATTTCATGTCTGTATGTAAGCTGTTCACTGATGGGGCTTGCACATTTTGTTTCAGAGATGCAGCAGTCCTTCATCTCCCACTGGAACTTTGTCTCCAACAGCATCTTGTGGACCTCAGCTTATATGGGATGATCATCAAGGCCAGTGGCTAAGAAGGAGAAGACTTGATGGAGCCATCAACAGGGTACCAATGGGCTTTTACCAGAAAGTGTGGAGCCTCCTTCAGAAGGTAGTAAATAAAAATGCATCTATTTGTATTGTTTAAATCTTCGTACATGAGGACAGTACAATATCTTATGGAAATTAATTTGTTATAGACATACATTAAAATACTTCATACAGTACATGACAATGGTAACTTATTCACAACATAACAATGTGTTTGGACATGTCACTATTTTTAAGTTTACCAACAATTCTCCAAAAAAAACCCACATCAACCCACATCAAACCATAAAAACAAATACTAGCCACTCTGCTTTGCCTAGGCTGTCTGCATAAATCCACAAAAGAAAGAGATTCCTGGAGTAGCAATGCAATGCACAGTAGATTATTGAAATGTAAAGCGCATACACAGATCCATCCATCAAAAATGTTAATGCCTTAGTGCTTTTCGCATCGGCAGGTCTTTAATCATAATGAAAAAAAAATTACCATATAGGCCGTGCAAACAATAAACTTGGGAACATTATTAAATTAAATGGTTGCGATAAACATATGTTATACTGGTAATAATAGTCAGTCCCAGTATGTGAAATAAAGTGCAAGGATGCTCAATCCTTGATTGTGAACTCCATATAAAGTGACAGGTGCTCCACTGTGCTCAGATAGGTGCCCCACATGGATTTGCACTCATCGTCATTCCCATGACCACCTATCTCTAAGTTGGTCGTATGTTCTTTTGGGACTATCTCAGCATGCAACGTGGTAATAGTATCCGATGTTCCTTCTCAAGCGTTAAGCGACATTGCTAATGGTCACCGGTGTTCCTTCCCAAGGGCTATATCAATACCAAAAATCCTCTTCTCTTGGTGGGCATGATGATGTCAGCACAGGCTCCGTCCAATGTGTTTCCTCAAATAGGATATTCTCAATCATAATGCTTAATCATATGGGCACATGACTAAGCACCTGCTGGTACAAAACGCATTAGGGCTTTAGCTGTTTTTTTCCCAGTGTATCTGTACTTTACATTTCAGGATTTCTTAACTTGAGGATCTCTCTCTTTTTTCTTTTTTTTTTGTGGAATTAAGCTCATCGAATGTTAGTAGCATGTCAAGTCTTTACATATGATGATGTTATTGATTTGAAAAAGCAAATGAAGACAAAAGCAGCCAAAAGATTTATGATATTTAAAGGCCATATCTTCTGTTATCAGTTGCACAATGTAGAAAGCAAAATATTGTCGCATCACTCGTGCTGAAGGGCTTCAAGCACTGCCCTATAGACAATCCACTTGGAAAAGGAGCAATCATCAACATTTTTTTAATCCATAGGTAACTTTATATAACACAATGAACTGAGACTATAGGAACAACAGTTTTAAGCATCTCCACCTTTCCTAGTACTAGCTGAGGGAGCTGGCTGTTTAAAGATATCTATATATATATATATATATATATATATATATATATATATATATATATATTATTATTATTTTTTTTTTTTTTATTACAGTTCTGTCCCTTATGAACAAAGTACGTCTCATCTTTCTAAGTGCTTTCTAACCCTAGTTATGAGGTATGACCTGTCTCCCTCCTGCCACCAATCAACAGCAGCAAAAAGGAGATGCCTGTTTCATAGATACAGACTGTCTCCACTTGGAGCACTTTTTTGAGACAAGCAACAGCATGCAGAGGGAGTGAGGACATGTCACCTCTGCATTCCTCTTGCTGTTGCCTGTTTTGGGAAAGTGCTCACAGCCAGAGTGGATTTGATTTAAATCACCAGTGAAAAGACTTGATTTAAATCATAATTTCTAAAGAGCAGCTGTTATCTCTGTCCCGCAGCGGCTCCTCCTCCTCTGACCCGCTATTAACTCATCGACAGTCCCATTCACATTAATGGGACGGCTGGTGATGCGGCAGTGACACAACAAGGTGAGGGACGTGGCGGCAGCAGGTGAGTGGCTGCCTGTTAGCTGTCATGATGGATCTAAAATAACAGGTGCTCTTTAAATGTAAGGAATCAGAATCATTCTTGCTGGTAGTTAGAATCTTTAATATTTGCAAATCAAATGAAGGTTTCCTTTTTAGAATAATAAGCTGTCAGGTTAGTAAAACAATGATATCAGAACCGATTTTAGGTTAATCGCACATAGTTGGAGAACTACTCAAATTCTTTTTTTCATGTTTTTTCTCATGGTTACTGTGAAATTGTGTAAATGCATCAATGCAGTGCATGTTATCTCAGCTTGCAGAGATTGGATTTATTGAATGAGCTTACCAAAAATGTAAATATTGCAGAATATACAGCCTCATGCTATATAACTAAGCTTCATTTCATGCTGAATAAACTAAATTATTAATGTACCTTAAATAGGAAACGATATTTAGTTAGTTTTTTTTACTCCAAAAGCAGTTTATTAAATATAAATCTGATTTAAATTAAAAAAAATCCAATTTTAACCACTTCCCGTCCGCCCGTTGTGCAGGGGCGGGTGGCTGTTTATAAACGGCCTCCCCACCCCCTGCTTGTGCACGCTCCCTGGGAGTGCGCAGCACCAGTATCCGGTGCCCACTGTGTCCTCCAGACACAGTGGAATACTGATCGTCATAGGGGACCTCTGTGCGAGGTCCCTATCATGTGATCACTGATTGGCTAATCAGTGATCATATGCAGAGTAGTAAGCAAGATGTCGCTTCTGACATCATTGCTTACTACGTGTGAAATGATCACAGAGGTCACATGGTACAAGGCTATTCACATCATCATATATATCATTTATGTCATAGTCATATATGGGATCATCACCATCATCACTGGTCATAGGATTTACATGAACACTTGCATTACTTGAACAGTGCTGCTGTTTTGCTTTGGGACTACTTTTTTAATTTTCATAGTTACATAGTTAGTCTGGCTGACAAAAGACAAAAGTCCATCCAGTTCAACCATAGAAAAAAAAAGAAAAGAAAAAAAAACCTGTATGTTTTCAGGTTGTCCTCCTATCCTATTTGAGAATCTGAGATTTTTTTGCATGATATATGTGATATGGTGAATCCATACTACCATCAAATAGATGCTTCCTGGAAGAACAGCCTGCATCCTTAGACATCATTCTAGTCAACAGGCTTAGATACGTAGGCCTTATAGCCCACACATCTTAAACTAATAATAAAAGCACTAACTATAACCTTCAAAATTAGCAATGGTCAAATGACATTGAACCTTGTTGTAACACTAAGATCCTTGGTCTCAGCAAAACAAGGTGAAATGGCACTGGAGAGTTAATTGCCATCGATTGTGGTAACAATTTGTTATATTTAGTACATGAGCAAGAAGCTAGTGAAAGCACAGCAGGGGTGCCTGCTAAATAGGTCTGCTAAGAGAGGCCTCATACTGAAATATGATAATTTCAGATAGACTTATAATAGCACATGAAAAAAATTGTTAGCATTACAATGCTGCATGGATAAGTTTTACAAATAAATACTAATGCTGAAATGCAGAAGCAGGCCTATTACCAAGGCATGAGGGAGTACAATGGGCTAAGAAGGGGCTGGGAATGGAAACTTACAACAGCAGAATCATTTATTGAGATGTGCACTAATACTGAACTTGTCAACAAGCAAATCCACATTGCCATAAGAAGATAGGCAGCAATCACCAGAAATCCAGCTTACAATTACCAACACCCTTATTCTCTGCTGGTCCTGAAAAGAAAAATGGGACACCGCCAAACTGCAAGAAACAAACATTAAAAACACCACAATAACCTCAACACAAGCTCACCTTCTACAAAAGATGAAAAAAGAGTGTTAGAGCTAAGGAGCCTCATCGCCCTCAGAGCCTTGTGTATTCTTGAAGTTAACCCTTTACTGCCTGTACTCCTTCTTACCATCTTCAGATGAAGTTAGGAAAAGGAATAGATGCTGATGAATGGAAGAAATAACTATTGATTACACTTCACAAGAAGGGCAATTTAGGGATATTGAAAGCTGAATATGCATTATTACACTGTTGTCATTTCTGACATTTCTGATTACAGTTCAACCCAATATATTCTGTTTTTGGACTATGAGAAAGCATTTGAATGCAAACACTGACCATGGTTGTCATGATGGTGAATCCCTCTCATGTAGGCAGGCATTTCAAAATGCATGTAGAACATAAGAGGGACATATTTGAGTCCTTTCCCATTCTTTTAAGTATCAGGCAGGTATATTTGACGTCTCTAATGCTCTTCTTTCATATCTTGGATGATGTCATGAATAAGTTAAATGAAAAGAAGAAAGGTGTTTATTGGAGTCTTTAGGACCATTTTGAAGACCTTGAATGGAGGAGATCTTTCATTCTGGCCTGTCCTCCATTCATAGAGAGCTTTTCATTGTGGGAACCACAGTTTATGCATGTAGCACATGGGCAGAAAGGGTGGGCATAGTCAGCACTTGATGAGTGCCTAGCACAGCTGCACATATCAACCTCCAAAGCACAGGAAGACCAACATTAAGGGTATCCAGGGGAAGAGGACTGATGATTTCAACCTAACACAGCAGCCCGCCAGTACATAAGAAACTCTTCATTCATGAAAACTAGCATCCCTGGTGCTGTTTGAAAAAAATGGAAACAAAGGAGATGTGTGAAGATGAAGCAGACGAGCCAATTATCTTGAGTAGCAAAAAAATTGAAAGCTGCCATTCTGCTTGTGTGATTTTGTTACCAGGTACACCTTGCAGTTTTAAACCCTTGTAAGAAAAATGGTCTCTCAGAGTAGTTATGTATAAATCCTGTCAAACCAGTGCATAAGGTTATGTAGAGAATAAAAATGAAATGAAGATAATACATCTAGTTTGAATTCATGCTTTAATATTAGACTTATTATTCCTATATAATTTCCTTCTGTGTAATTATTATTATTTTTTTACAGTGTCATGGATTGTCAATTGATGGATATGTTCTTCCATCCTCAAGCACAAGAGAGGTACGCTAAATACTAAAATGTACATAATACAATTAGAATTACAATGTGTAATTAAACAAGTATGTAGCTTTAAGCAAATGGAAATATTGCCTTGATAAGCTGGTTTCGTGGAGAACATATGGAGTAAGTTATTGAAATTCTCATGGCAGCTAATAATTTAAATTATTCTATAGTCCCACCTGGTTCTATATTTGACAAGTTTACAGACGTTGTCGATTTTGATACCTATATTGTCAAGTGTAACCAGAGCAAAAAACACAACTGTTTTTTTTTTTCAGTTTGTTTATAGATATTTGCATTTCTTATTTTTACAAACACCTTATAATGGTTTTATTTTTTTATAGATGACTGCTTGTGAAATAAAGTTTGCTGTCCATGTGGAGTCTGTCCTCAATCATGTTCCACAGCCTGAGTACAGGCAGCTGCTAGTAGAGGCCATACACGTTCTCACTCTAGTGTCAGACATGGAAGTGAATAACATTGGAGGCATCATCCATGTGGATCGTATTGTGCACATGGCCAGTGATCTGTTCCTTCAGGACCAGGTATGGAATACGTCCTCTGTTCCTCTCTTTTTCACTTAATTCATACTCCATAATTTCCAGTATTGCCTGTCTCAGAGCCTTCAGTGTAAAATGAAACTTGTTCCTGTCCTTAACCATAGCTGGTTATACAGCACAGACTGATATGTACAACATTGTGCAGGTTTTCTTAGCCCTGATCCTGCAAAAAATATGGGTCACCATGAGATACCCTATCACCTACTAGACTGACCTCAGGTCCACATATATACCCATTTGAGAGGAATCCAATGATATGTTGATTCTCATTGTTTCCCAAATCGAGTGTCTTCCTTCTGCAGCTAACATACCTTTTCTAGATTTCTCCCACTGGCAGTATATGGTCATTAGGTTGCATGGCTTTGAAGACTTCATATTGGCAATATGAAGAAAGATCCCCAGGTTTTATTGAAATTTATTTCCTCTAGCTTCTAAAAAGGTCTGGTTCTGGCTCCAGTTTGAGTGCTGGATTGTTTCTTTTCCATTTAATCAATATGAGCTCCATTATATGTTTATCGCTTAGGGTCCATGCACACAAGCATCATCAGTTCTGTCATGTAAACTGATCAAAAAAATTAAATAAAAACTGCATCTGTTTACATCATTTTACATAAGTTTGTACAGCTATCTTCAGTTCAGTTTCCATCTGTATACATCCGTTTTTCATATGTCCATTTTTTTTATTTGTTGAGGAAAATAGTCATAGGATGCAAAGATAAAAATCAAAAAATGTGGCGCTACTCATAAAAATCAAAAAATTATTTTAAAATATATATAACAAATACAATACACGTCGTGAAAAATATATGTATAATAATAATCAAGTGGTCATAGTGATCAGAAATATATATTAAACTAATATCATAAAAAATATAGTGTATAAATACTGTGTAATAACAATCTTTGTGACAATTTCTAACACATGAAAACAATAAACAATTATAATAATTAGACTGTGATCAATCATGCAAATAAAGTGCAAAAAATGTCACACTAAAAAACACAAATGAAAAATAAACAATGTGTAGACAAATGTCCAATGGGTGGGTGACACCACTACTGCAATTGCAAGCACACGTGATCATAAAGTGACTCCAGGTGCAGAAACTCCAACACACGGCTAGATTAGCCTCTCACCTCCAGGCTTCGACCCGTGAAGGTCAAAGCGTATAGTGGGATCAAACCCTCAAATCCTCTCAGCATCTACTGATATCCACTGATCCACTTTCCCCATCCATAGATATCCTTCTCCAGGGGTCGATAATCAAGCAGTGGCTCCTCTTATGGGATATGGGTATGTGCCTATGGTGGAGATGTAGGTACTGTTGAAGCTGTCCTCGGAGAATCGGACGATCAAACACGTCTTCCCGACTCCGCTGTCCCCGATCAGGAGGAGCTTGAAGCCTTCAAGCTCCTCCTGATCGGGGACAGCGGAGTCGGGAAGACGTGTTTGATCGTCCGATTCTCCGAGGACAGCTTCAACAGTACCTACATCTCCACCATAGGCACATACCCATATCCCATAAGAGGAGCCACTGCTTGATTATCGACCCCTGGAGAAGGATATCTATGGATGGGGAAAGTGGATCAGTGGATATCAGTAGATGCTGAGAGGATTTGAGGGTTTGATCCCACTATACGCTTTGACCTTCACGGGTCGAAGCCTGGAGGTGAGAGGCTAATCTAGCCGTGTGTTGGAGTTTCTGCACCTGGAGTCACTTTATGATCACGTGTGCTTGCAATTGCAGTAGTGGTGTCACCCACCCATTGGACATTTGTCTACACATTGTTTATTTTTCATTTGTGTTTTTAGTGTGACATTTTTTGCACTTTATTTGCATGATTGATCACAGTCTAATTATTATAATTGTTTATTGTTTTCATGTGTTAGAAATTGTCACAAAGATTGTTATTACACAGTATTTATACACTATATTTTTTATGATATTAGTTTAATATATATTTCTGATCACTATGACCACTTGATTATTATTATACATATATTTTTCACGACGTGTATTGTATTTGTTATATATATTTTAAAATAATTTTTAGATTTTTATGAGTAGCGCCACATTTTTTGATTTTTATCTCTGTTGATCATGGGTATTTGATGTAGTGTTGGCGGCTTCTCTCTTAAGTTGATTGAATATAATTTTTTGGGGGGTTTAGTAGTGTGGGAGGTTCACACCATCCCTGTTAGTTCATAATATTTTTTCAGCAGCGCAGGAGGTTCACACCATTCAGTCATAGGATGCAGACCTTGTGGGGTTTATTTACTAAAGCTGGAGAGTCCAAAATCAGACTCCCTTCTGCATAGAAACCAATCAGCTTCTAACCTCAGCTTGTTCAATGAAGCTTTGGCAATGAAACCTGGAAGCTGATTGGTTTCTATGCAGAAGGGAGTCTGATTTTGGACTCTCCAGCCTTAGTAAATAAACCCCTTTCTGTCTCGGACTTGGTTGTAAGCAAATGTCTATTGATTTACATTTATTTGCACAAACATTGTGGTTGACTCTGGCTCTGTCTGGAAATCTGACAGCTGGATCCAGGCTGATCTCTTGTGTGAAAGGGCCCTAAGAAACCATCAAGAGATAACTAAGCCTGGATTTAAGGAAAGAGGTAGAGGTAGTGGCAGAATGCATTTGTTGCAACAATTATATATTTCATATGTATGAAGACATACTGTATTAGTATGCCTTATCTTTTGAGTACAAAAATATAAAGAAAGCCATTTATTTATTTCCAATATCTTGATTCAGCTGTTCAGAATAACATGGACTCGAAGGTCTATGATCACAGGCTTTGGTGCAATGAAAGAATCCTAGGGTCACAATTAAACTGGCATGGGGACACAATTGAAATATGAGCATGATCCTGACAAGTCTGTCATATAGTTTGAATGAATTTTAGTATATGACAGATAATATTAACAAAGACATATCATGGGGCGTTAATTCACAAGGCACAGCATCCTATTACCTGTCTTTCGGGTCCTTGGTAATTCTAAACTCCAGATAAATAATCTTTTGGGGTGTCTATATGATATTTATTAAATATAGGACTTCTAAGTATACAATTCCTGCCTTATGTGAATTTGTTTAAAGTTAACCTGTAAACCTTCTGTTGTTTACTCTTACAGAAAGCTCTTGGAGCTGGAGATTTTTACCTCGACCAAGATCCAGCCACAGGGATCTGCAACTTTTTCTATGACAGTGCTCCCAGTGGGGCATTTGGTACAATGACTTACTTGACCAAAGCTGTGGCCAGTTACCTGCAGGACTTTTTACCCAGTACAAGTTGTATGATGCAATGAGCAGTCAGTCTGCCATATAGACGAGTTGGTCTGTTTCTGTAAGAGGAAAAAGGATGTGCAGCTGTTACTTCACATTCAAAAGCATTTCAGCAAGGTTACCGGTTTCTTCTTGTTATGGATGGAATCTTTTAATTATAACATGAACCAAGAACTATCCTTGTAAAAGCATGGGCTTTGGAAACAATGTCATTTAAAAATGTAGTATACACACAATATTTATTGCAGTGTTTTCTGCACTTCAGAAGAATATGTCTTCACTTAAATAGCATCAGACTACAAAAATGTTGACTTAAAGTTAACTCATAGAAGGTTCACATCCAGTCTGATTCCCTTGGTACTCATCTTCCTTCAGGGAAGATTTGGTCGCTCCTGTATCTGCTAGAAATTCTACCACCTTATTATCTACTAATAGTTTTTATAATTGGAGCTTGCACTAGTCCAATTCTTTTCTAGAACCTGAAATAGTTCCCACTCTATCAGCTTTTTATTTGTAATCAAGTGCAAATACTGTACTTATTTCCACAATTAGTCATTTTTGGGAAGGGTACAGGCTAAATGGAATTGCTGAAAATTGTCTTCTATGTTTAGGCATATGCCAGCCCCACAGAATTTAGAAACCCTCAAAACATAACACAGTTTTGTGATAACACGCATTGGTTTCGATTTACTATAGGAGCAGAGAATGTTCACTTTGCAAAGTGAAATTTCACTTAGCTTAGTGAATCAGGTGAAGTTAAAGAAAATTTACGTTGCAAAGAGTGCCCAATTACATTTAAAGATTTTTGCTCACACATGATTGGATGTTTGAAGTCAGCACAGCTTCACCTCTTTCACTAAGCTAAGTGAAAATCCACTTTTCAAAATGAACATACTTTATTTCTTTGTTAAATAAATGCCAAAGTTTTACTTATTTGTCCATGATTTTTGCCTGCATTGCAAAACTAAACTAAATGCATGGCAACATTCTCAATTATTAGGGAGCTTGTAAATATAGTTGTGATAATTTCATGACACTTTTAAACCATAATAATATCACGAGAGCCATTTCATTTTGTGGATATTTAATCTCTTGTAAAAGATGCTTTTCGGCCCTATAAAGCTCACAATGCACTTTTCCATAAGCATCGTGGTGTAAAGCAGCCATTCTCAACCAGAATTCCATGGAATCCTAGAGTTCCTCCAGAGGTTGCTTGGGGTTCCTTGAGCTGTGGCTGATTGACTACCGATCTCATGTTGCCTGCATAGTTCCAGGGCCAACACCACATGAAAGAGCCAGGGCATGGTACTGGTGATCTTTTTACTTCAAGTAAAAGTCGGCTTTTAGACCACCATTGTATGGGGACATTCTTTACACTAACCACCTATGTAAGGGGCATTCTGACCACCCTATAAGGAGGGCACTCTTGTTTCACAAAATTGTTATTGGATTTTTTAAATAATAAGCAATGAACAGTAGCAAGGCACATGGGTATACAAGTACACCAACCAAAGGAAGTACCCAACACCAGTACCAGAATACGAATACAGAGGCAATTTAAAACACATCTCCAAAGTAAGGAGGACACTCTTTATACTGTCAACCAAAATAAGGGACATTCTTTACACTGGACCTTGATTAAATAATTTTCAGGTTTCAGGGAACCCCTGTTATACCTAATTAAAGGTTTCCCCTAGGGTTAAAATGTTAAGAAAGGCTGATGTAAAATATTTCTAAGCATAGAAGACTTTCTACTCAGAATAGATACAGCTCTTTGTTGCATTTTAATTGTACAAAATGGTGCAGTAATGTAATAGACCAATATTTTAATAGGGGGAGATGTAACAATAATGTTGAAGACTTGCACATTTTACTAGTCTGCTTTTATGGCATAGAGTATGGATTTAGTAAACTGTTCATAGAATCTAAGAAACTAGTGTACTTATGGGTATAGAACTAATGAGGTCGCTGATATCCTTAGAAGTACATCACTAATGAAGTAGTGGGTAGGCAAGAAACACTGAGGTAGAACTTTGTTCTCTTGCCTGTTTCAACCAAAATTCTTCTTTCATTTTGTAACCTCTACTAAAGACGTATCTACTGAAATGTCACTAGTTGCTGTGGATAGTATGTCCTCATTCATCTGCAGCAGTTTTTGTAAATGAAGGCTGTCAATACTATTACCATCTGTCAAGCATGTCCTTAGGAGAATCATTGTAGAAAAGCGATTTTAAAATTAATCAGCTATTTTATTATGATACTGAAGTAATACTTTATTTAATCTACTGTTTCTGTGTAAATTGTATGAACTCTGTGCCTATTATCATGTTACTTATACAGCATACAGTATGACTGGACTACTGCCTGTATGTTATTAATTACAATTTTTGTGTTTTTATTTATTTTAAATTAATGTAAATAGTTAATATAATAATGACCACGGTAAACTATATTTAAAAGCTATTCATTTACAGTTGCATACAGATTTATGTAGTGCAAGTGTGTGTATGCTTTTTAAGAAGGCTGTGCTTCCTGTTACTGCTCTATGAACATAGTCTGAGGTCTGTGGGTAAAAGATATTGAAGTATATTGTCAGAGCACAATCTAAGTACATGGGGGGATATAAGCTTGTTTTTCTTTTTTCTTCCTATATTGACCTCACACAATAGTTTTGTGTCTAAATATCCCATTATTTTTGCCATAAACATTTTCAAGTTGTAGATGCAGTAATACTGCTATGTGACCTAGTTAAGTCTACAAGGTATGCATACAAAGGCATGTAAATATTTGATCTTTGCCGTAATATATTGACTTTGACATTCATTAGCAGCTGTCTTTGGACTTTTGTACTATAACCTACAGTAAATGGAAGATGGTCATACACCATTAGAATTTTGTTAAAACATTTTTCAATTATTGAAAAGTTCCTTCAATTTATTAGAAAATTAAATGGGACAAACCAACAATTATTTTTGACCATGGTGCTGTGAAAAATTGAAGTCGAAGAATGGAAAATTCCTAACTAAGCTGCATTGTTATGTATTTATGGGCCCTTTTTACACCTGCCCATTGCACATTTTTGAAACACATTACTGCATGTGTTTTTGCATATTTGTGAGCCTTTTAAATTTATATTCGTGTGTTTGTTGTGCATTTTATAAATTTTTTTTGTATATACATCATGACAATTGAGACAAAAACATTCAGCTTAGATATTTTTCATAGTGCAGATGTGGTAAATGTTTTTCCGTGCATTACTGTTGATTTTAGTGGGACTGCCTAACAAACATTAATTAACACAAATTCTGCATGCTATGCTTTTCAGAAACATGCTGAGTTGCAGTATGTGGCCACATAGACTCCTATGTGAAATGGAATTTCTAGTTGAAATCCATTAGAATGTGTTTTTTTTTGTTTTGTTTTTGGTAAAATACTCCAAGCCTTCCACTTCTGCAGTTTGCACAGGTAAAAGGGGCTCTTCTCTTTTCTGCCCACAACTGCCTTGTAGACAAACAGTAAGGCCTGCTAACATTTTCTTGAAATCCCTTTGAAAAGAAATTTCTTTTTCCTACTTCTCTCCTAAAGGGAACAAAAAATATTGAACTCAGAATATACAGTATGTGGCCCTAGTTTGACAAATGTAGTGGCTTTATAATTGGGATCATTTACAACCCATTCACTTTGTAGCGTGAAAACACTCATAAAATATATATTGTCACCTATTGTCAGCAAAATGTCTGTGCACAGTACATCTGACAGCATGACTCTAAACCGCTGCTGGCTGTAGTTTGGCCATGCTTTTCACCTGGTGCAGATGTGTGAATGGTCACTTAAATTGGACCTACCCTGGTCAGGCCTTTCATCTAACATGATTAGTATCTGACTGTGTTTTCGGTAGAATGGTTTGTACCATTGCTAACAGACTATACTAATACAGGGAAGCAAGGAAATAGGATGATATCAGAGTCTGCACCCTGACCCAGCAGTCCACACATCAAGTAGGATTCAGATGATAGATTCTCACTGGTGCTCTGTAGCGGTTGCTTTAATATGAGTTTATTCATAGACCTCACTTTGATGTCAGGTAAAAAGATGCTGCTTTGGTCTAGTCTTTCAAATTGCTGGCTATATATAAATGTCTTTGTTCTGTCTGCAACCTGCCTATCCCTCAGTTACACTGAATGTAGACCTTTACACTGCTGTTTTATACGTACTATATATTGAATGTATGAACAAAAAAAGAATATATATTTTAGCTACTGACCATTTCCTAGTACTGGCATGTAAATGTTATTTTCATTCAGAAACAATGAATCATGTATGTTTTTTGGAAATATATTATAACTTAGCCTATAATTAAAGCTATATTACCCATATGGTGTCTGCATTTATTTTATTCCTCATTTATCTTATTTAAATCTGAATTCCAGAAAAGCACATGAATACACAGCAGAAATACATACATTGTGTATGGGGAATATTTCATATGCTGAATGTTTTGTAACCAACAGTGGTCATTTAAGAAGTTAAACAGCTTGGTCAAAAACATGCCCTGAGTCTGCTGATTAAATAAAGGAGCAGCAGTACCCTGATGGGGTTAGCCCGTTCCCGGTCAGCTTGTTCACTGCCAGAGCACAGGCATAGAGCAGAGCTTGATTGGCTCCTAGAGCTGCTTGTCCCTTTCCTATTCAGAGTCCTGCTGTAAATGGCATTACAGGAGGCTATCAGACACATTTTGGAACTTACGCCTGGTTCACACTAGCCCGCATGCTACTTGCTGGTTGTGGTTGCGGGAATTGCAGCCACTCTTGCGAGATGGATAGGGCCGCCCTTCATTCTGAATGGCACCCCCAAGCATATTGGCCCGCAACTCGATCACAGGTGTCGGAACCATAGGGAAACAGCATGGCCAAAAAGACCATGTGGTTTCCCTGCGGCCACGTTTTTAAAAAGGTGCATGCACCTTTTTTCTGAGGTTCATGCAGCACAGCAGTCCATTCAAATGAATTGGCTGCCCTGCCTGAACAAACACGGGGCACCCTTACTAGTGTGAACTGAGATTTAAGATCACCATAGACGGTGTGCTTTTCTTTCCTGCAACCACAGGTCAGTGTTGCAACAGTCAGTGTTGTCACAATTAGTATTGCTGGGGGAATGCTTCCCGCAGAGCCATTGTGTTCTCCCAGCACGGGAACGGTGTAGCCGTCCCCACCGCGAGAACACAGTGATGATATAATAGCTGCTGACAATAATTGCATGTAAAATCCAACAGACTGGATTGTATCAAGTTGATCGATCAATCAGCTTGGGTACATTCAGCCTGCCCATACAGATTTGGTGCTTTGTATCTGATGGGAGCAATTTTGCACAGTCATTTAATTGACAGTTGTCAGTGCTGGGGTAATTTAGTGATATACCGTTACTCTGTAATTCTGGGTTCATCACTCCACAATGACACTATCTGTATGCAGTTTGTACTGTATGTTCTCTGTATGTTTGGGTTTTTCCACTGAGCTCTAGTTCTACTTCTTAAAACAAAATATATTGTTTGTGAGATGGTGTTGTTTGTCAGTGTGGTTGGGCATTAGATTCAAAATTTCTTTAACCACCTTCCGCCCGCCCTATAGTACAATGACGGGCACAAGGTGGTTCTCTTGTTCTGATAGGGCGTCATATGACGTCCTACCATTCCCACTGCGCATGCGCGGCTCAGGGAGCGCGCAGCACGGCGATCGCCGGTGCGCTGTGTCCCTCAGGCACAGCAGATCACTGAAAGAGCCGAAGATGTCGGCTCGGTCATGTGATCAGATGTGTCCAATCACAGCTGATCACATGTAAACACGGAAATGCCGGTTATCGGCATTTCTCTCCTCTCGAGCTGTCACTCTGACAGCTCGAGAGGAAAGGAGAGCCGGTAATCGGCTTTCCGCAGAGGGGACATGTACACTGATCATCAGGGCCCTGATGATCAGTGTGGCCCCAGAAGTGCCACCTGTCAGTGCTCATCAGTGCCACGTGCCAGTGCCCATCAGTGCCACATCAATACCACATATCAGTGCATACCAGTGCACATCAATGCCACATATCAGTGCCCATCTGAGCTTCCTTTCAATGTCACCCATGTCACCCATCAGTGCTGCCAATCAGTGCCGCCTATCAGTGCGCGTCAGTGCCGCCTGTCAGTGCCACCTAACAGTGCCAGTCAGTGCCGCCTATCAGCGCCAGTCAGTGCCGCCTATCAGTGCCATATATCAGTGCCATGTATCAGTGCTGCCTTTCAGTGCCCATCAGTGATGCCTGTCAATGCCCATCAGTGCAACCTACCAGTGCCTCCTCATTGCCCATCAGTGCCACCTATCAGTGTCCATCAGTGCAGCCTATCAGTGCCCATAACTGCAGCCTCATTAGCGCACATCAGTGAAGGAGTAAAATCACTTATTTACAAAATTGTATAACAAAAACTAAGGAAAAACCCAGATGTGATTAAATACCACCAAAAGAAAGCTCTGTCTCAAAAAAATGATAAAATATTTCATATGGGTATAGTGTTGTATGACCGCGCAACTATCATTCAAAGTGTGACAGCGCTGAAAGCTGGAAATTGGCCTGGGCAGGAAGGGGGTATAAGTGCCCTGTAGGCTAGTGGTTAAAGTATATGTGAACCCTTACTTTGTAAAACAACCCATTCAGTTTAAAATAGAAATCAAAGATAAACCATTTGCGTATAGATATATAAAAAAAAAAGTATTTGTAAATTTTTTTTATAAGGGAAAGCAGGGGGACTGGTAGATTCACACAAAGAAACCAATACAAAGAGAACAGGATACTTTGTAACATAAGTACAACAGACACATATCATGAATATGAAATGTTGGGGTAACAAACACTTTAAAGCATATCTAAACTCAAAACAAGAAATGTAACATATTGCAATTTACCAGTCCTTAGATGTGGTAATTGCATTCGGTTTTTTTTTCACGCTAAGAACATTTATAGTAAGTACAGTGCATACCTGTTGATTGTGTCAGAAAAGAAGTGTCCTTGTCACTTAGAGTAATCTACCATGTCCCTATAGTTCACCATGTACCGTCAATCAGCCATGTAACAGGGATGAACAACAGTCCATTTGAAGTCCAGCCTGTTTGACAAACATGGTACCTTTCATAGGTAGCTGTGAAGAAATGAGCATAGACACGGATAATAGATAATAACCAACATTTTATTTTTCTTACTGTTATGGTTTACTACGTATTATACTACTGACTATTGCTTTGTACAATTGTAAAAAAAAATAAAATATATCTGCACATATAATATATTATTTTAAAGATCTTCACAGATTGGTGTAGCTCCAGTCCAAGTTCCATTCTCCATGCAGAAGCTATACACATCACCTTGGGTCATAGTATATCCTGGATAACAGTAGTACTGAATGTAGTATTGATATTGGTTTGGAAGAGGATCTTTCAAAGTGAGAAACCGGAAGGTTCCATGAATAGGTACCGGAGGATAAATGCACCACACTCTTCTTTTCAAAGCATTGTTGAGAGCACCATGATGTGATTGTTTTCTATTGGCTTTAGTTGTATGTGGAACATGTGTGGAAGATGTAATTCTTGGAGTGGTTTCAGTTATCTCCTCCATTCTGTGAAAGGTTACACTGGGCTTCCTTGCTAAAAGCAAACTTTGTACGGCTGTTGTTTTAAATCTAAGTGTTGGCTGTTTAGTGGTAACTTCATAAACAACTTTATTGTATTTATACGGTTTGTCATGTGTGGTAGTGTTGGTCTGAGAAATGGAATCTTGTGTTAGTTGTTGGTGAAAAGATTCAGGTAACATTTGAGTATAATTGATGACTGATGCTCTAATACTTGTTAGAATTATTGATGGGATAGTAGCAACAGGTTTCTCTCCTCGGTGTTGGCATAGTCAGGATGGTTGGTGATGTATTTTAGATTTGCACTGGGGGTGGCATGTTTTGGTGACTCATATGTTGACCTTAAAATAGAAGACTTACTTGTGGTGGCTTCTGGTATTCCTGACTGATGTGTGTGATTGATACTGGTGAAGACCTCCACAGTCTGTGTCAACCTAGTTGTTCTTTCTACCCTGGTTGGTGTTGTCCTCAAGTGGGATAAAGGACCATTAAATAAGCTAGTAAAAGCATTCCTAGATGATACATAATTTTCAGTATTTGGATAATTCTCTTTGGGAACTAAAGATCTTAGTGTGCAATTATTTGATGATGTTGGAAATGGGATAGCTACCATTTTTGATGGTTTACTTTCTGTCCATTTTATTGTTTGTCTTTCAGTTTGTAACATATTTGATAAGTTATACCAGTTGGTGCCATTTATCTTAGGTGATTCTGTACGTGTATCCACTATAGATGAAAATACTGAAGAGTAGCGTTCTCCAGGACTGGATTTATTAGTCGACTTTAGTTTGTCTCCAGGTGTCAGATGTAGTGAACTTTGATTTTCCCAAAACTTTAGCCATTCTTTTTGTTGGCAGGTACTCTTTTTATCCTGGATATCTTTAATCCTATTTATGGTTGTGGGGTCGCTTTTAGAACTAATATCACTGTGATGGTTATCAGGTTCATTTTGTGTAGTTGTATACAAGATTCTGTGAAACTCCTCTGATGACTTTCCTGAAAGTGACGGGTGCCCCATGATCACTGAGCGGCTCATTTGTGCCATTGTTTTTTTTTGACTGGAACTCATCATGTCTAAATCTAAAACGGCAGAAGCAATTAAGTGATTACGGTAGTTACAAAAAAAAAAATTTGGTGTGTCTGATGTATAAAGAGCTTATTTGAACGTTTTTGCCTAGGCAGTGAAGATAATTTACTGAAAGAATAGTTTTTGCTCAATTCTCCATCCACTTCATGTACTCAGTAAGCTTCAAGGGAAGAAGCTGTTTTTAGATTTCTATAAACCTGACTGTTTGAAGTGGACAAAGACTGCAAAAAACGAACTGTTATGCAATTGTCAAATAAGATAGCAGAATTTATTTATTTCGGAGATATGACTGGAAGTATAAGATCACACCGTGACCTGAGAGATGTTCTATCATGACACAAGCATATTGTAAGCTACATATTTAATAATGTGTATGTATTAATGTAACAAATCCCTATTTTATTCCTGGTAATGTTAAACTCTGTTGTAATGTTATATATATATACAGTGGGGATCGAAATTTTGGGCACCCCAGCTAAAAATTTGTATTAATGTGCATAAAGAAGCCAAGGATAGATGGAAAAATCTCCAAAAGGCATCAAATTACAGATTAGACATTCTTATAATATATCAACAAAAGTTAGATTTTATTTCCATCATTTACACTTTCAAAATAACAGAAAACAAAAAAATGGCGTCTGCAAAAGTTTGGGCACCCTGCAGAGTTAATATCTTGTACTGCCCCCTTTGGCAAGTATCACAGCTTGTAAACGCTTTTTGTAGCCAGCCAAGAGTCTTTCAATTCTTGTTTGAGGTATCTTTGCCCATTCTTCCTTACAAAAGTCTTCCAGTTCTTTGAGATTTCTGGGCTGTCTGTCACGCACTGCTCTTTTACGGTCTATCCATAGATTTTCAATTATGTTGAGGTCAGGAGATTGTGAAGGCCATGGCAAAACCTTCAGTTTATGCCTCTTGATGTAATCCCCCGTGGATTTCGAGGTGTGTTTAGGATCATTATCCATTTGTAGAAGCCACCCTCTCTTTAACTTCAGCTTTTTCACAGATGGCATCAAGTTACCATCCAAAATTTGCTGAAATTTTATTGAATCCATTTTTCCTTCTACTCGTGAGATGTTCCCTGTGCCACTGGCTGCAACACAACCCCAAAGCATGATTGATCCAACCCCATGCTTAACAGTTGGACAGAGGTTCTTTTCATTAAATCCTGTGCCCCTTCTTCTCCAAACGTACCTTTGCTCATTCCGGCCAAAAAGTTCAATTTTAACCTCATCGGTCCACAGAACTTGTTTCCAAAATGCATCAGGCTTGTCTATATGTTCATTTGCAAAGTTCAAATGATGATTTTTGTGGTGAGGACGTAGAAGAGGTTTTCTTTTGATGACTCTTCCATGAAGACCATATTTGTACAAGTATCTCTTTATAGTGGAATAGTGTACCACAACTCCAGTGTCTGCCAGATCTTTCTGGAGGGATCGTGCAGTCAAACGTGGGTTTTGAATTGTTTTTCTCACAATCCTGCGAGCTGTTCTGTCTGATATTTTTCTTGGTCTTCCAGATCTTGCTTTAACTTCCACTGTTCCTGATGACTGCCATTTCTTAATTACATTCCGAACAGAGGATATTGACATCTGAAAATGCTTTGCTATCTTCTTATAGCCTTCTCCAGCTTTGTGAGCATCAACTATTTTCAGTTTCAGTTTTCTAGACAACTGCTTAGAAGAACCCATGGTGCTGATTGTTGGGGCAAGGTCAGATGAGTCTGGGCATTTAAGACCTTGCCCCAACAATCATCGTCTTCCCAGATGATGATTGAGAACAATCCATGACACTGGCAGGTCTCTGCTTTGCAAAGGGGGCAGTGCATGCTTTAAACTCTGCAGGGTGCCCAAACTTTTGCAGACGCCATTTTTTTGTTTTCTGTTATTTTGAAAGTGTAAATGATGGAAATAAAATTTAACTTTTGTTGACATATTATAAGAATGTCTAATCTGTAATTTGATGCCTTTTGGAGATTTTTCCATCTTTCCTTGGCTTCTTTATGCACATTAATACAAATTTTTAGCTGGGGTGCCCAAACTTTCGATCCCCACTGTATATATATATATATATATATACTGTAATTTAATACCTTTTTATAAATAAATAAATATATATATATATATATATATATATACACACACACACACACAGTTTTGTTCAAAATAATAGCAGTCAGACATCACTAACCTGATCAATCACTGTTTTTGGTAGAAATTATATTTCTACATGGCAAATAATTTACTAGCAGGTGTAGTAGAGTAATAGAAATCCAACAGTCATGACATGCATGCTGCTGATTCTGTGTAATTGAATCATTAATTGAAAGGAGCATGTTCAAAATAATAGCAGTGTGGAGTTCTATTAGTGAGGTCATTCATTCTTTGAAAAAACAGGTGGCAATTATTGCCCTTATTTACGGAAGGAAGGCAGCAAATGTTGTACATGCTGGTTACAGTGCATTTCTCTGAAATTCTGAGGAAAAAGGGTCGTTCCAGACATTGTTCAGAAGAACAGCGTACCTTGATTAAAAAGTTGATTGGAGAGGGGAAAACATATAAAGAAGTGTAGAAAATGATAGGCTGCTCAGCTAAAAT